GGGTTTAGGGTTTAAGGGGGGGGGGCGCTGGGTGTAGCTAGTTTTGAAGCATGGGCAAATTATCAACATGACTCCTTTGGTAGAATCTGCGCCCAAACACTCGTTTTTTTTGAGTTTCCTATATTGGGTCCTTCAGGGCTAGGGTTCATGGTGCTGAGTAGGATGTCAAGGTTTCATGGCTAGTCGAGGATTCGGGGTGTCCAGGATCAGTTCAGGATTTCAACTGTTGGGTCTCGGATTTTCAGGTCTCAGGGTTTGGGGGAACAAGGGGATGGCGTTCTGCATCCGGACCTCCAAGCAAACGATGTCGAGGGCTTCGTAAGCCCAGGGTCTTAGGGTCTAATGCATGGAGTTTATAGCCGTCCCGCAATCCCTGTAAACTTTCTGAACAGCATCCGAACCTCGCTGAGAAACTTAAAACCTGCAGCCTAAAAAACATAAAAACCCTAAACCCTCAACCCCCAGAGGACTCTTATAATATAGGGGACTAAATAATTACCTGTACTATTTTGGGAGTTCCTTATTATAAAGATATTACCATATACACCAAAATCTTATTCTAATTATCAAGGCCCCTACATTAGCTAAGCCTAAACCCTAAGCCCTTAACCCTATTCTAACATTACGAAGGACCCCTACAGTATTACCCCCAAACCTTGAACCCTGAACCTTCTATTTATGAAGGCCCCCTGCATTAGCTAAGCCTAAACCCTAAACCCTAAACCCTCAACCCTATTCTAATTATGAAGGCCCCCTACATTAGCCCTCCATGAAGGCTCAGAAGCAGAGAGGAGCTCGTGGCTGGGCCAGACCGGCCGCTCCTCCGTCTTGGACGAGCGAAGCTTTGGGGGGGGTTTAGGGGTTTAGGGGTTTAGGGTTTAGGGGTTTAGGGTTTAAGGGTTTAGGGTTTAGGGTTTAGGGTTTGGGGGTTTAGGGGTCCAGGGCTTGGGGTATAGGGTTGAGGTTTCGGGGTTTGGGCTATAGGGGTTCAAAGGTTTAGGGTATATATGGGTTTAGGGATGTTTAGGGTTGATTTATAATGTAGGGGCCTTAATAAGTTCATCATGATTTGGGGCGTATATTATACTATACTTCTAATAAGGAACCCTCCAAATAGGAAAAGTAATTACTTAGGCCTCTATATGAAGGCCGAGGGCATAATGGTAATTAGGTTAAGGTTTTAGGGTTTAGGGTAGAGTGGTCTTAGGGTTTAGGGTACAGGGATTTAGGGCCAGGGTTAAGGTAAGTTTGGCGGTTTGGGGTTATCAAGTTCCAAGGGTGAACTTGGGTGAGTTGATTACGGTCGGGAACTAGAGTAGCTTCCGGGTTCAGGGGTTCGGAATCCTGGACTTACCGGTTGTGGTGTTTGGGCTCGAGACGTTGGGAATGTAGACCCCTGATAAGCAAACCCTCCCCCCCCCTCAACAAGGATATAATAAGGGGTCATACTGGTTGTCTACGTCTCTAGAACATGCGCACTATCCGGTTCTTGACTTGAGGCAAGTGTGTGCACCGTAGGAGGGTCGTCATGGGCCCGAAAGGAGATGGCTTTTCGAGCGATTAGCCTTGTTTTAAGCACACCCACTATTTTGTCACCCCTAGTTTTGAGAACCCCCCCCTACTCCCCCGAAAAACGACCCCAATAATAAGGACCGCGAGCGATCGTAACGAATTGTGATGCTGTACTTCTCTACTTTTCATACATTCCCCAAACACTCAGTACTACCACCCGATGCCCAGGTACCTGATCATTCGGTCGTTGGACACTTCAACAGTTGCCGTCAAACCTTTCAACCTACAAAACTGATTATGTATACCCATAGGCCCCATACTATGTATACCCATAGGCCCCATACTAGTTCTTTTTTGGGATTACCTTCTAAATATGAACCCCAAAAAGGACCTACTATGGGGCCTATATGGGTAGAAACTTAAAAGCCGAGAGCACGAACTGAACCCTAAACCCTAAACCCTAAATAAATCTGAGGTTGCCTTGGTCCAACCAGCCGCCTGGCACCCAGCGCTGTTTCACCTTCGATGCCTCCAGCGGCACCACGCTGAAGTTCAGCTTGCGGCTTGGCAAAAGGGTTTAGGGTTTGGGGTTTAGGGTTTAAAGCTGACTGTAGGGTGGAGGTTTGGGGAACCCTAGATACCCTAAACCCTAAAGTTTGGGGGTTCATAGGTTTGACCTATACTTTTTTCGCCCTAAACCCGAAGCCCTAAACCTTAAGCCTTAAACCCTAGGCCCTAAACCCAGGGTTTAGGGTTTGGCGTTGGGCTCTACGAGGGCTTTCGAAGGCCTCTAGGGTGCAGAGCCATGGTTCATAGAGTTCGGGATGTAGGATTCTTCAAGGTCCTGTTATGAACAGTTGTTTATATATATATATATATATATATAGATAGATAGGATTTTATGGCTTAGGATTTAGGGGCTACGAACGGCTTAAGGCGCATTATCTAGGGTTTGGAATGTAGGGTATGAAGGTTCGGATGCTTATAAACAGCCAGGATATTACATACTAAACTTTATCACAGTCCTTTGGCAGACAGTTCTAACAAACAATAGCTTATATCTACATGTCTTATGCATACACACACACATTCGTCTGCTTGTGCGTGTACACAGAAGTGCAATGGCTGAGGACATGGAAAGCGGCATGAGTTGCATCATTGTTCGTAGCTGCCTTGGAGGCTGAAGTACCTACGTACACACATATGTACACCTGTGTATAAATACTGCCCGAAGTACGTATATGTACATGTATGATTTCAGACATGTTCTACATGTTTGCACACAGTTGCTTGTTATATTATAGTTTCTTTAAGCCTGCATGGTCTACGAATCTATCCAAAGCCCTTCTGCAGACGAAAACAGATGCTACAGATGTCTAGCTCATAGTCTAGAGGCCTTAATAATTACCTATACTAAATTGTTCGTTTCCTATTATAGTCATAGTATAATTTCCCACCCAAAAAAACAAAAAAAACAAAACCTGTTCTAATTATTAAAGCCCCTTTTTTAAACAAAACGCCCAAGAACTGACTTGACGATCCACTTTGCAACATCAATTTCCCCCACTGTCGGCCTAAAGATGACCAGCACCAGCCGCAGTAAACTGTAAACCCTAAACTCTACACTACACCCTAAACCCTTAGCCCTAACCCCTAAACCCTAATTTGATGTCGAGCCCTGGGTCCCTTTTCCCTTTGCTTGGTAGGGTCGTCCCTTGCATAAACCCTTTTGGCCCCAAGGCTCTTAGTGATATGGGGGCCTTAATAATCATGTTTCCTTGGTATAATTAAAGTATAATGTACCCCAAACCCTCTTCTTCAGACAAAAGGGCATGGGACCGGCCGAGGTACCTACCCACCGGGTACAGACATCAGCCGGACGATGTGTACGATGACATGGAAGGGATGCTCGATTGCTCGACTTGTGTGTAGCATAGGGGTTTTAATAATTGGAACAGGGTTTGGGGGTATATTAGACTATAAATACAATAATTAGGGTCCCTCAAAACCCTATTCTAATCATTAAGGCCCCTACACTACTAGGTTTCATGGTCTTGGGATAGGGGAGGCAATGCCGAAAACTCGAACCTTCTTGAAGGTTTGGGGTTCGCAGCCAAGTGCTGCTCTAAACCCTTCAAATGTAAACTTGAGAACCCTGAACCCATACTTTCCGGGTGCCACTAGAGGAAAATACTTTTGATTGTAACCTGTCATGTCTTATGTGCCATGTCATGTTCCGTCTTCGTTCATGTGTTTGGATGACCTGCTTTGGGAGTCAGCATGATGTGATGGTTCCTGAGCTTTTGTAGTGAGTGTTTCTTCAGCATTTCTGGGATAACTGGGTGCTACAAGCACAAGGCAGGTCTCTTTACGGTGTATACGCCTATATGATGTTTCTATATATATATATGCACATGTATATATAACATATCGGATAGAGTACATAATATAGTACTATACGGCATATTGTATGTGTATATATATATATACACATACATATACACACACACACACACATACGTACACGCGCACACCCAGCCACCCACCCACCCACCCACCCACCTATACACACACACACACACACACGCGCGCGCGCGCACAAGTGCTCGCCCCTAGCGTGCCAATTCCGATCGAGTTCCTAGACAAGAACCCGGGCAGAGCCCTTCTTAATCATACTATAACACCACCATTGCATCATGGGTTGCAAGTGCTACTATGGCTTGAGGGTTCATGGGTTCTTTTAGGCTTTGAGGTTTACGGGTTCTTGTAGGCCTTACGGCTGAGTCTGTCTGTTTTTGGGTCCAGCTTTCAGGGTTCAGCTTTGTCCCGTGGTTCAATTTGGGAGTTTGCGAAAATTAGGGGTACCTTATTTTGGGGTCCTTATAATAAGGATCCTATTATTTAGAGTACTATCTTAGGGTCCCCTAGTTTCGGAAACCCCTATTTGTCTTTCCGAATCATGTTTCAGCACAGGTGGCCATTGGTGGTCTTCTTGCACTCGATGCATGTTCCACGGTTGCAACACAGTTCCACCTTTTGAGGAGGAAGCCATACAGCCCTAAACCCTAAACCCTAACAGTTTCGGGTTCCAAGTTCCGAGCGTTCCGTCTCAGGGATGCTGTTCAGGCGAGCTCAGGGGTTGGGGGTTGTTCACGTCTGTGGGTTTCGGCTTTAATTTGAGACCAAGTATAGTTCCGTAAAGAGCCCCACCTTAGCCGAATTGAGTCTTCAATTTGCAGAGCTTCAGCAGAAGGACGCGAACATTGTCTCAAACCTTCAAACCCATAAAACCCTTCACTTGCGGTTGAAATTAAGCATGACTTTGAGGGATGTACCCGGTGACAGGAGAGGCAGAAACTATTCTTGGGGTTAGGCTACTTGGAGGATCATGGGACTTAGTAAGTAAGGTTATAGAAGTCCCTTAATTGGTGTTATAAGTAAATATAAGTATAGTTACCTTAATTAACCCTACTTACTAAGTCCCATGATCCTTTAAGTACAGGAAGACCCATGGGGGCCTTGATCTCAGCTTGACAGTCTATTGATCTATTGACGAACATAGGTAGTCCTCTAAATTAGGGTCCCTTTAATAAGGGTATATGAGCAATTCTCTACATTGGGGTCCCCTGTTAGGTCCCCAACATAGTACGGCACCCTTTAAACAAGTGTCGGGTTTGGGACTGTGATTTTAGGGAATAAGGCTTTAGACTGTTGTAAGGATGATGCTGGAAAAAGTGGGGTTGAGGGCTACAGGGCTGAAAGGTTTATACAGCTTTTACTCTGCCGCTTTGTTTATAAATCCCCCTCCATGCTGCGAGTTTCACGCTTCCCTACACCCCACACCCGAAAACCGACTACACCCCAAGCCTCGGACACCCGAATCCGGATGTGTGTTGAGACCCCAGAGACCAAAAATCCTAAGCTTTTAAACCCTGCCAGACTTCAAGCTGCCGGGCTTTTGAGCTTTGGGGCGTTTAGGACCAATTGGTTTAGTGGTTTAGAGGTTTAGGGGTTTAGGGGTTTAGGGTTTAGAGGTTTAGGGCTTAGTGTTTAGGGTTATAGGGCTCAGGGGTTTAGGGCTAAGGGTTTAGGGTTGCGGGGCTAAGGGGCTTAAGGGTATTCTGCCAGGGGAAGATTGAGGGCGACAACAATCTGCTCCTCGCCAGAAGGTCTAGTTTGGGTAGTACTCGAAATAGAGTCCCTTTAAAGGGATCTATAAGGGTTTTTTATAGGGCTCCTATAAGGGTTCGTTTTGGGTAGTTCTCGAAATTTCGGTCCCGTTGAGGGTCCTTTTTATAAGGGTGCCGTACTATGTGGTTGGTAACAAGGGATCCTAATTTTTTAGAGAACTACCCACGACTACCCATATTCAGGTCCAGCAACACAGTACGTCGAATGGGAACGACAGTAAGCACAAGTCGCAGTGCGTCACTGAGCATCACCACTGCATGTCCCTCAGCTGCTAGTACTACCGCCACAGCGTGCTTACTAGCAGCTCAGCAACAGCTGCTACTGACCGCTGACAGTTACTACTACCTACAACGACAATGCGCACGAGGACGAAATGAACGACCACTTCTATACGATGACAACGAACCACTACGATGACGACGAAGACGACGACCACGACACTGACTATTACTGGGGTGCTGAATGACAGTAGTAGCGTGACTATCAAGACAGCATGTCGAGCCACCATCATCATCATCATCATCATCATCCTCATCCTCATCGCCATCGTCATTGTCATCATCGAATCAACATAAACACCATCACCATCGTCATCATCATCACCACCACCATCATCATCATCATCACGCTAGGTTTCGTTTAGCAGACGCAGCTTCATAGTTGCGTCAAGCGTAAAGGTCAGCGTATTTGCCGCAACAAGACTGACGGTTGAGGGTGTCTATGGTTGTGTCGTTCTCTAGCCTTCGGCTGTTGTGTATATCGGGGGTGCATGACTGTCACGGAACAACAATATGAGGACTCACGTAGCACTGCGGGGCCTGCTGTAGGTCCCTACACCCGAGACCCTGCAATACAATCTGCGGTCGAGGGTTTCGACTTCTCGCTCCATTGTAGTTCCATTTGGGGGTAACCTCATAGGATCTTAAGTGTGAACCACAAGAAGGAACTATGTAGAATGGAGCCTATAGGCACAGGAGTGTAAGGTTTGTGGAGGGAGTTGGGTTGTGGGTTTTCGAGCCCTTCGACTCAGCCAGTTCTGATGTTTAGATTCTTAAGGGTCGTCAGGTTCAGAGGTTGGGGTTAAGGGCTTAAGCCTTTAGGGTTTATAAACCCTAAACCCTAAACCCTAAACCTTGATGTTCTGGATGTCCCGGGTTCAACTGGGTTCGGAATCTGGAGTAGCTATATTTTTGAACGGCTTGTGCCTGCTGAAACCCGGCCCTTCATCCCCATCCAGGTTTCCACATGACCGTCCTGTCCATGCTTTAGGGTTTAGGGTTTAGGGTTTATAGGGGTTAGGGGTTTAGGGGTTTAGGGTTTAGCATCTTGGGCTTCCGAGGGCTCATAAGCTGTGGGAGTTTAGGGTTGAGGGTTTAGGGCTTGCCTGCTGAGATTTCTATACCCGAGCCCAATGCCTTGAAGACATAAAATAACCGAAACCAACTCACCAAGCCGTAGACCCGAAAACCGAGCCCACCGCAACCCCAAGCAACCCCAAATCGATTCTGCCGAGTTCCTAGTCTAGTACACCGAATAATGCTAAACCCTTAAACCGAATTGGCTCAAGCCTTAGCCCGTAAAGTTGAAAACCGACAAGCCCCTTACACCCTAAAGCCCTAAAGCCCTGAAGCCCCAGAAACCTAAAACCCCAAAACTCTAAATATCCTGAAGCCAAAACACCCCCACGACCCTTATACTCCGAAGCCCAAAACCTCTAAAGCCCTATACCCCTAAACCCTAAACCCCCAAAGCCCTAAACCCCCTAAAGGCCTAAACCCCCTATACCCCTAAACCCTAAACCCCCAAAGCCCAAAGCCCTCAAAGCCCTTCTTCTAATATAGGAGCCTCAATAATTACCTACTCTATTGTGGGGGGCCCTTCTTATAATTATAGCATAAAGGGCCCCAGAACCCTATTCTAGTTATTAAGGCCCTTATATTATGGGAATGAGACCCTAAACCTCTAAACCCCTAAACCCCTAAACCCTAACCCCTAAACCCCCCAAAAAACCCGAAACCCCCAAACCCTCAACCCCCTAAAGCCCAAGCCAAGGAGTTCGGGGAGTTC